TTTGTTTAAACTTTAACTGCCTGTGTAGAAATTATATAAGCGCAATTTTCTGAGCACTGTTTACTAATTGTGGAACCTTGTGTCAAGTGACACCATGAAAAATTTGCAAGTATGTTAAAACTCTTCTGTTAATAAACATCATAATTCTTAGAAGCCCGAAGAACCTAATCAATAAGGCAGTTTTTCGTTTGACCCTCATCAATAGCTCTTTTCTAATTTAATCATGTGTCAGTTAGCATTCTCCTGTCGAGGGAGAAGACGCCTAAAGATGCATAACTCATGTCCTCGGCATCTCTCTCAATCGACATAGCTTCACATCCTCACCGATCGACTTTCCTTCCATATCAACTAACACTCAACGCCTAACCACCTCAGCATTACTCATCTTATCGTACAAACATCTGTGATCAAAGACAGCTAGTCGAGCGTTTCACATCTTCCACTTTCAGCAACCATGTGTCACTCACAGCTATAAAGAAGGTCGGGGTGGGACTCCAGTCCGTGATACATCGGTGCTGTCTATCTGTCCGTTTTCGACATAGAACTTTGCACCGATGTGCAACAGTTCAAGTCGCCACACTCCCTCCATGTAGCACACAAATCAAGAGAAGAAAGTAGAAGAAATGCACAATAGAGACAGTAAACAGAGGTGTGAAACAAAGGAATAGTAACAACGAAGAACGATATAGTTTCATTGGAGATCATAAGTCACAAGGAGTGGATGCATATGCGCCAGTAATTGACAGCGACGATTTTGAGCCACATTATCACCAATTGTTCCCAGCCTTCATTGGTTTTTACCATCGCGAGGACCCCAACCAGAGAGTCTTCACTTTCTTACGTGGCTTAATCTAAATGTTGTAGATTTCATTGACTGGTGAAGTCATGTTTTTGCTTGACCGCCGCTAGCTCTTTTCCAGCCTAACCCTATTTCAGCTAACATTGCACATCGGTCGAGGAAGGCGATGACTAGGCATACGTAACCATGTTCTAACCATCTCAGTCGATGTAATTTCACAGCCTCGTCGACTGATTTCCCCTCCTTACCTAGCACCCAACGGATGCCTAACCTCAGTATTGCTCACCCTATTATACCATTTCACACGGGAAACAGAACGCAGGCACCTATGGTCAAAGACAGTTAGCCGACCTTTTCATATCTTCCAGTCTCCATGGCCAGGTCTCACAGCCATAGAGCAAGACGGAGCGGACTGATGAGCAGTACACCCGCCCTTTGGTCGATAGTCGGATATCTCGTCTACGCCAGAGTCGGCGTAAACTGGCAAATGCGAAACTAGCCCCCTATATCCGTGCTGAGATTTCGTCAGCGATCAACCCGTTGGGGGTGATGCAACTTCCCAAATAAGTGAAGCGGTCAACGTGCTCTACCACTTCACTCCCTATTTCTAAGCTAGGAGTCAATGTAGCAGATTGCAGCTCAAGGTGCTCAGAGGACTCTGTATTTTGTCAGCGTCCTCGCCTAGAAAAACTACATCACTATCCGCATGTTTCAAATCAACGAGATTATTCCCTCCTTGGTAACAAGTCAATCCCTGAGTCTCTGAAGTCACATAGGGTTAAGTCCATTAGTACATCTATGATTAAATTGAATAGAAATGGGGATAATGGGCATCTCTCGCTGTCGAACACCACTAGTTGTCACCACTTCACATGACAACTCGCCGTAAGCCCTCATCTGGCTGACAGCATGAGTTCGAGTAGAGTGAGCGCCTTAATCAGTGCAATGGATTTTCTCGGAATTCCCTTTACAGCCAAGCATCGCCAGAGTACCTCTCGATCGACAGAATCGAATGACGCCTTTAGGTCAAGAAATATAATGATTGTTAGACGCCGGTAAGAATGCCCATGTTCGAGATTCTGTCGGAGGATGGGTGAAGATATGATCAATACACCCTCTTCCTGGTCTAAAGCCTGCCTGGTTCTCTCGTGTTTTTGCCTCCCGAGCACCACTTAGTCTACGCAACATTATTGAGCCTAGGACTTTAGATACCACCATATTAGTCAAGCTAATCCTTCTGTGATTATCACAGGATGACTTGTCTCCTTTCTTGTATATAGGGATAATCAGTAACTTACACCAACACAATGGGACTTCTTCTGATTCCCAGACGCTGCCTAGTACCTCAGTTAATGCAGACAGTAAACTGTCTCCACCGCACTTAAATATCTCTGGATTCAATCCATCAAGTCCTGCTGCTTTGCCTTGTTTGAGACTAGCGACAGCTTCAGTAACCTCAGTTAAGAACGGGAGACCTGTGTCTATATGCCATTCAGGGAGGTGTTGGATGTTCGGCAGGTTAAGCATGGCTGTAGGCCTATTAAACTGCTCCTCATAATGTTCTTTCCAACATTCCAGTCGTCTATCATGGGAGCTAATTATGGTTCCACTTTTCTCAGAGATTGTTTCACTTATCATTTGCCTTCTAGCATCTGTTTCCCTGATAAGCCTAAATAGTTGTCTGGTGTTGCCAATCGTCGATGCCTTTTCCATCTCTTGTGCTTTTGTCGCCCACCACTGTTCACGGTCGTTGCTCCTCATCATAATCAGGGCTCGCCAGAATCAGTCTTGCGTCAATCAGTTCGGATGAGGCGGTAGAGATCCAATGGCTCTTACTAACATTTGGTTTCAGGTTATTAACAACTTTTACAGCTGCGTCTACAGCTAACTGTATGTTGTGCCAGGCTACCTCAGGGGAAGTCCTGCTGTCGACCCCAGATACTCGTTTCGCTATTTCTTCCTTAAATAGGGACTCAATGTCTCGATCTAGTTGGGGACGTAACTGTTTCGCTGCCGTCAATTCCTGTCAATGTCCGTTTAGTCGTAAGCATAAACGTGCGCGAACCAGAGCGTGATCATAGTCTACGCTTGTATTCCAGAAGGAGTGACAGTCTACCACTGACCCCCGCCAGCCAACGATATCCTATGGCTATGTGGTCTATCTGAGTCCAGCGTTGATTTGGTGATGGAGGTCACCACCAGGTTACACAATGTCTCTCTTTGTGCCTAAAGTTAGTGCTGACTAGGAACAGATGAATATAGGTTCGTCGGCAGGGAACTCTATACGTACCACCACCTACATACTTCTCAGTCTGGCACAACTTCCTTCCTTGGGCGCGCACTGAAGTCGCCTGCTAAGACATTGATTACATACATACACACACCAAACGTTTAAGCTAGTTCTAGTAAGACACATTTTTACTATGCAAAAAAGGGAACGTTATTATTATTATTGGAACATAGGGCTTCAACTGCACGTCTCCACTTCCTTCTGCTGTACTTTTCACCTGCCTCCATAATAGTCCATACTCTTTCAACACCTCTCCTCCATGTCACCCTTACACCGATGTCGCAATCGCCACTTCTCTTTCGTGTTTCACTCGAGCAATCACGCGACGCACGATGTCACCCGGCGGCCTCCTCAGAGAGTGTTGGATCCATCTCCACTTTCTCCTCCATATTTGTTGGCTGACGATTGGTTCTTGTTTTGTTTGTTCCCATAGTTTCTTGTTGGTGATTCTTTCCGACCCGGCCATCTGATCTTCAGTATAAAGGTCTGCAACAGGCTCTTGTAAATATTCTTTGTGACCCGCCCGCCAAGTTTCTCATCCGTATAGAAGGACTGACTGATTTGACGTTGTTTTTATTGAAAATCCGACTGTATTTTGCTGTTGATGCTGAGTGACGAAGATTTCCAGATTGGTTTCAGTTGGTTGATGAATGTGTTTCTCGCACTCTCGATTCTTGACTTGACATCCTCGTCCGTTCCGACTTCCTGTAGTTGAGACAATGCTCCTAGATAAGTGAATGAAGTGACCTCTTTCAAATCCCTCCCGTTGATGGTGATTGACGTGGATGTTGCTGTTGTTGTTGGTTGGTTATTTTCATAACCTCTGTCTTATCTATGTTCACTTGGAGTCCTGTCTTCGCCTGCTGCTTCTTCGACCAGTTTGTCGGTCAGTTTTCGCTTGTAAGTCTTCGATTTTGTGACAGTGACATCAAACATAAATCATCATCCACACGCGAAATCCAAGTCTTCTAGGTTCTTCACGTTGGTCGGTCCAGGATATCCTCCTGTCTTCTCGTTTCCCACTCACTATCTGACTCATAATCCAGCCAGTCCACCACAATTAAGAATATCATTCATTGGTGATAATAAGCCAGCACCCTTGTCTGACTCCTGTGTTTACTCTAAACGCCTCGCTGAGTTTTCCGCTGTAGATCACTTGACATGTGCCGCCGTTGTCCTACAGCTGTTCTAGTAAGACACATTTTTTGTTATGCGAAAAAAAGGAACGTTAAACATCATTAAAAAAAGGGTAAGCCGATTTCACAAGATAATCGTATAATATTCGAACCATGCACACAAATAAACATAAAACGCTGTAATATACACAGACTACAAGTTATGCTATCTTCATCATCAACATTGTCAACATCAGCTGGACATATTTCACACAAAAACGATTTATAGTCTTATATCAATCACAGACCAAGGACGAGTAACTCCACAACAGCAACAACAACAACAAGAATAGTGATAATAAAGTAATCTGAGATCGAGAGATAGAGTAACCCGTCAAAGGAAAAAAACAAACAAAATCTATATCGTTTTCAAAGAAACAAGTCAAAAAGAAGAACAAGAATGAGGGTGGAAGGGAGGGATGAATAAACCACTGGACATATATCACACATGCATATTATAGAGAAATACCTGTAGATATTACTATTAATATTATCTAACTGACTAAAGTAGAAATAAAAATAAAAGAAAATATACATACTACTAATATAAAGTTGAAGAAGTAGTAAAATACACGGAAGCAAATAGGGAATCACACAAATTACAAGTCAACAGCATACCTAAAAGCATATAGGTATGTTTGTATGTATGTGTGTGTGTGTGTATACTTGATTGCACTGAAGGAAGTAAAATAAAAGATCATATTATTATTATTATTATTATTATTATTATTAATTATTAACAAGGATCATGAAGACTACTCGTAGAGATTGTACACAATGAACTATGGTGATGAGTAGGAACATTATTATTAGAAGAAGCAGAAGCGGAAGAATTCATTCTAGACGCTGTTGGTGATGTTACCATGACAACAGTTTCATCAGTCATTGATAAACGCGGTAGAATGTAACAATCTCGACCGGTAGGATCACAATCAGCCATAATTTCATGAAGTCTATACATATATATATATATATATAAATAAATAATTAATGAAATGAAAATATGTTTCTTGTTTTTATTCAAAAGTTAATTAATTTTTAAAAATTTATTCAAAATTCAAAATAATTTTGATAAATGGTGACTAGCAGGCAGTGAAACAGCCTATTAGGATGCACATTTCGTCCTCTATTTGGGACTCACACTTAATCAGTTGGTGATCAGTGTCTGTAAGTATGGTAAGTACTTTGCGCCATCTAAATGCAAAGTACTGTTACAAGATTGGCAGGAGCCTGTACCTGCACTCACTCTTGCGGGTGAACCGCTTGAAGTTGTTGATAAGTTTGTATATCTGGGTAGTTGTGTGAGTGCTGGTGGGGAGAGGTGACGGATGAGATTTCCAACCGTATAATGGAGGCTAGAGTGGCACCTATGGTACCGTCGCGACGTTAGCCTGGTTGTCAAAGGTCGGGCTGTCTTGCTCTACACCATGCCTGTGAAACCTGACCTCTCCGAGCTGAGGATGTGCAGCGACTCTATGTGTTCGATCATCGCTGTCTCCGCAGGATTGCTTGCGTTCGATGACATCATCGCGTGAGTAATTCTGAGGTTCGGCGCGTGTGTTTAAACACAGTACAGGTCTCTGTTCGCTAGCCCTGGGACGGGATGAAAAAGGCGTAGAGGTGGTCAGTCCATGATGTGGCGTCGTGGAATGAAGGATTTTTGTGCTAGATTAGCATCGGTTAGTGTGTCACGACTCCCTGGTTGGGGTCCACGAGACAGCTTGAATCGATGGCTCGAAACGTTATCGGATATGGCCAAGAATCATAATCAATGGCCAACGTGTTGCAATTTCTTCTTTCTTCCCTTCCTGATGATAGTTAACGAATACTGTTTGAACTTGTTAAGTATGACTGTTTTCCTTCCAGATTAAGTTCTTTATCCGTTCTCTACTTATACTTTTCTTTACTTTTGATCCATGTTGTTTTATTATTATCATTATTATTATTGTGTGGCGCATCTTTCTTGGTGTCATAGTGTACCAAGTTTTTTATGCGTTCAAATAAATAAATAATTTGGAACTCGTCAGCCAGTGGATTGGATATACCTGCATTCCCCTAGAATGAGTGGTTGTATTCAAATGAACTGTCGTCAAGATTTGACAGAATAGTAAATTCTAAAGTAATAGTATCAAAGGCGTTTAGGCGTAGTGAATTCGGAATTACTCATTTCAATCTCGCTGAGATTTTACAAATATAGTAATTTTTTTTTAACAAATGTCTATGCTTCTCACTTGGCGCCCAAATATTTTACAACTATTCTGTTAAATCATGACGACAGACAGTTCATTTGAATTATTTTGCAATGGAATTAAATTAACAAAGAAACTATGCTAATTGGCACAATCATCATCGTGTTTTCACTCTCCGTCGTCTGCAACAGAATGCATATCCTAAATCTGTAGCTGTCGACTCGCTTGACAACTCCAGTAGATCGAATAAAGCAGCTCAATCTTCAGAAAGAAGACAAAGCAATAAGTTTGACAAGGTGCTTTAACTAAACTCTAATCCTAAACACCATAATTTTGAAAATTCATCTAATCATAAAATTCTAGATACTAACAGTTTGAACAGACATGAAGGTGTGATCTTGTTAGCTGATGTGTGATAAATCGTGATTAATAAATAAAAATGGATATGTATCACTAATTAATAATACTTGGTCAAAATTCCTGACTGTCTATATCTTCTTATGGAGACGTTAAGAAATGTCTTTACAACTGTTTATCACACACACACATACATGCTGTGTTTAAAGTGTTTAACAAAGGTAGATCAATATTTGTAAGTCTGAGGTCAAATTTTGATCACAGCTCATAAAACTTTGTTTACTATACCTGTTAAAACTTGTTTTATGACTCATGATTGGACAAAGTTTTTAAAAACAAGAGATGTTCCTTTTCTGCATATAGACCTCTGTTATGTTAATTTCGACCAATTTCCATGAAGAAGTTCGGACGAGATTGCTGAACACAGGAAACGTTGGAATTACTCATTTCAATCTCGCTGAGATTTTACAAATATCGTTTTTTTACGAGTGATTGTGTTCCTATTGAGATATTCCTGCACAGAGGAGCCATCATTTCAAGCACGACAAGGCGTTATCCATTAGACCATTTCAGAGGGGGAGGGGTGGTGGTACACGAGAGCTACCACAACTTCTTGTGCAATCGGCACCAGTAGTAATATATTTCTAATTCGTGGAAAATACCCATTGGAACATTAGATTGAAAAGAACAAGAAGTTCAGCAAACATGGCGATCCTTTCGGCGATATCATTCTCCAAAGCCGCTGTACAATCGCATTTATATACATTAGTTTACATGGAGATAATACAATACTACAATACAATAATATAATGGATACAATTATTATTTGTTTAATTCAATACAGTAACGAAGGTGATAATAATTTTCAACTTGATATGAAAGCTTGAACGTACGAATATAGATTACAAGGGGCTTAGAGACAAGATTGCATAGGATTTGAAAACAGTTATACCGCATGCAAAATTAATATTTGATAACTGGAGAAATAATAATTTTAAAGGCGATGGATATGGCGAGAGCTTCCGCAGTACATGTGCATAGAAAAGCCGGGGCTATGTGTTCAAAAGAAACTAGTCCAGCCTTTACAACTACCATGGACCTAGTTCGGTATGCTCCCGTATCCTTCAGTTTTTTTTGTTGTTTTGTTGTCTGTGTGTGTAATTTCCTCTCTTTACCTTCATCCAGTTCATCCTATTTTTCAGTCTTAAAATCAGTTATTTTAATTTTGTTTCCATGCTCCTCCTGACCACACTTGTAATCCGTTTAGAATAACCATTTTACAATTATATTCTAATCCTGTGTAATACTTTTTTGTTTCTATACCTCTTTTAACCTATATTCACACCTCCTAACTTACATGTTCAAGTTGAAAATTTTGATTTTTTAATTTGTTTCCATGCTCATTTTGTTTGTTCACACCTGTAATTCGTTCTATCCCTGTGTCTCTAAGCCTCTTGTAATTCGTCTCACGTTGGAAACAATTATCACCTTTTATTCGCCTTTAAAATTATTATTTCTCCAGTTATCAAATATTAATTTTGCATGCGGTATAACTGTTTTCAAATCCTATGCAATCTTGTCTCTAAGCCCTTGTAATCTATATTCGTACGTTCAAGCTTTCATATCAAGTTGAAAATTATTATCACCTTCGTTACTGTATTGAATTAAACAAATAATAATTGTATCCATGTAAACTAATGTATATAAATGCGATTGTACAGTGGCTTTGGAGAATGATATCGCCGAAAGGATCGCCATGTTTGCTGAACTTCTTGTTCTTTTTAATTTATTTTTAATTGAAGTTTTGATTTTCCCCTTGAATTAATTCGACAAAGATATTCACTTTCTGTTAATGTTAATCCTTGGACATTGTTTAAGTTTCACTTCACTACTAGACGTAAACATGTCCAACAGACAAGGAACATCTCGGTTCAAATCAATCAATGATGAATAGTTCACAGTCGTGGGGGCATCGTCGTGGCGAGTCAGTCATCCAGTGGTATGTGGACCACATTGCAAACTTGACTGACTAACTGACTGACTGGTAAAACTCAGTTTGTACCAAATAAAGGACTAGACACGTTACACTAGTCTAATTAAAGTACACACATACACACTAATCAGCTAATGTATTCTATAACGCGGATGAGCTTGTATCAAAGCCCAGATGAGGGGAGCAAGATATAAAGATCTACAGCAGTACTTGGTCAGCAGTTAGAACAAGACCTAAAATTTTCAATAATAAGAAGAAGCCAGGGCTTTTTATGTGGTCTAAAGGCTTGATGTGCGCGTCACAAAAAGGCTAACGCAAATTTTCATTAACAACTGCCTTCACTGGCTGCATATTGACGATAAGATAGTTGATCGGAAATGCTAAGCAATCAGGAACAGATGCTTCAGCACAAAGACGTCTCTTCAAGAATTTCATGCAAGATTAACATTTCATGAATTTGAGCAGAGACTGACCGACTGGTTTCAACATAGAACTTTGCCTCGATGTGCAGCAATTCAAGTCGCCACACTCCACGTAGCACACAAAGCAACGGAAGAAAGTAGAAGAAATGCACAATAGAGACAGTATACAGAGGTGTGAGACAAAGGGATAGTAATAACGAAGAACAATATAGTTTCATTGAGTATTATAAGTGACAAGGAGTTGATACATCTGCGCCAGCCATTGAAAACGATTTTGAGCCATATCACCGATTGTAGCCAGCTATTGGTTTGACCGTCCCCAGGACCCCAAAGAGGAAGTCTACACCTTCCTACTTGACTGGTTGGCTTAAACTAACTGTTGTAGATTTTTTTGACTGGTGCCATGTTTTGTTTTGACCGCCGCTAGCTCTTTTCCAGCCTGACCCTATGTCAGCTAACATCGCTTGTCGGTCGAGGAAGGCGATGACCAGCCATAGGTAACACATGTCCTAACAATGTCAATCACAGCCTCGTCGATTGATTTCCTCTCCTCCTCGCCTAGCAATCGACGCCTCACCTCAATATTGCTCACCTTATTATACCACTTCACACGAGATAGAACGCAGGCACCTATGATCAAAGACAGTTAGCCGGTCTTTTCATGTCTCCCACTCCCAATGGCCAGGTCTCACTGCCATAAAGGAGGACGGAGCGGACTGATGAGCAATACACCCGCACTTTGGTGGATAGCCAGCCGGATATCACGTCTACGCCAGAGACGGCATAAACTGGCATATGAGAAACTAGCCCTCTGTATCCGTACTGAGATTTCGTCAGAGATCAACCCGTTGGCTGATGCAACTTCCCAAATAAGTGAGGCGCTCAATGTGCTTTACCACTTCACTCCCTATTTCCAAACTAGGAGTCACCGTAGTCCAGTCCTGTAACAGTCCTGTCAATGTCTGACTGTGAAGGGAGTGCCAAGAAAGTAT